AAGGCCAGGTTGGACACAGGGGCTTGGAGCAACCTGCTCTAGTGGAAGGTGTCCCTGCCCGTGGCAGGGGGCTGGAGCTGGAGGAGCTTTAAGCTCCCTTGCAACTCAAACCACTCTGGGATTCCACGAACTATGAGTTCTTGAGCCCCCTGATCTGTTTCCCCTGCAGAGATGCTCTCCTGTTCATCATCACGGTAAGTTGTGATGCTTTTCAGGAAAGGTTTCAGTCCTGACTTGTAAATAAGTGCTACATCCATTTACCAGCTCCTGGCCTCAGTTGTGTTAACTCTGCCAACTTCTCACTTGTGTGCTTTATTCCCAGTACATGCCTTTATGTATGCAGGAATCTTATGTGCTCACCTTTCCCCCTCTCCCAGGTGTTGGAGGACAATAAGCAGTGGTGGAAGCTGCTCAACCGGAGCGGGCAGGCTGGATACGTCCCTTACAACATCCTGGATGTGGTGAAACTGGAAGAGCTTGAACAGGTCTGTGCTCAGGTGATGTTTAACTGATACCCAGCTGCAGAGTACAACCAGCCTTGGAAGAGAATCTTTAGACCTCCCTGGAGTTCTTAGGATGCTGTGCACAGATTGGGATGAACCCTCACAAATAGATGAACCAGGATGCTGGAGATTCCTGAGTTTCCTGTGATAAGGCTCTCACATTTTGCCACCATTACCTCCCCAAATCAGGGCTTTCCTCCTGCTCTAAGATGCCAAGCACTGGCAGGCAGGGTCATGGGACAAGAGAAGGCTGAGCCCTGTGCTACAGGAGCAGCCTGCAATGAAGGGAGACCCTGGATGGAAGGGACAACTACCCCAATCTAGCATCATGACTTGTCACCCCAACAGAAGATATCTCACATTGAGGTGTCACCAAACAGCTGCTGGCTGCAGTGGCTTCTGAGAGTTCCACCTTTGGCCAGTGCCTTCCCCCCAAACCCATGTACATCTCAGCCTATGGTTTACCTCCTCCCCTGTTGTGGAACCCTGCTGCTTTCAGGGCTGGGCTGTGAACAGGATGAAAGAGCTGACAAAGCCATAAAAGCTAATTTTGCCATGAAAATGCTGAGATTTTTATTGGGAGTTGAATTAAAGACAGACAATTCCCTTGCCCAGCTCAGTCCAGCAGCAGGAACAAGTTACTGGAGTGGAGGCAGATGGAAATATCATCTGAGTATTAAATGAATATTGCTCTCAAGCACCTTACATTGCAAAAATGAGCTGGAGAGCTCCAGATGCCCTAAGGAAACACGGAATTGCTTCCCCCCTTTGGTATTCCCCAGCTTGGGCAAAGCATAAGGTGCCCCAGCAGGCCTGTGGGTAAAAGCTCTGCTAGTTCAATCAGAATGTCAAGAAACTCTTTCCACACTGCTCCAGGCACTTGGCAGTGGTGCCACTTCACATCAGTCACCAGAGCAGGGATGCTTTAGCTTCAGATGGATTTCTGTTTGGTTTCATATAAAGATCCTTTTGCTTCCCATGCTCTCCATCCCTGAGGAAGCCTTGTGAGCAGTGATTTCTGCACAGCAAAAGGCTAAAGGGTTGAGTCACACATGTGAGCACAGCCATCCACAGCATAGCAAGCAAGCAGAGAACAGTGTGACAAGAGTGACATGCTTGCTGGGGGTGCAAATGCCTCTCACAGCCTCCAGCCTTTGCTCTGGGTTCTGTTTGCTCCTGTGAGACCCCAGGAATGAATTTCTTCCATGCAGCTCCAACTGAGTCCCACCAGCCTCAGCTGAGCAACCCCAGAGCAGCACAGGGAGAACACAGTGATTATCCCTCTATTTGCTGTTATGGGTGAGAGGCAAAAAGTTTCAGAATATGAAAAATGGCCATAAAAGATCTTACACATTCTTTTTTTCCTTTCTTATTACCCAGACCAACCAGAGGTACAAGGGAGACCTGAGCCCCAGAGGATATGGACCATCCAGCCCAACTCACAAGCTGCCTGCCAGCTATGCTGGGGATAAATGGGGAAGTGAAATGTTATCACGTAACTCTCCCCAGGACGCCAAAGAACGTATGTAACAGCTTCAGACTGAAACAGGGGGGTTAGGGTGGATCTAAGGCAGAAGTTCTTCCCTGTGAGGGTGCTGAGGCGCTGGCACAGGGTGCCCAGAGAAGCTGTGGCTGCCCCATCCCTGGCAGTGTTCAAGGCCAGGTTGGACACAGGGGCTTGGAGCAACCTGCTCCAGTGGAAGGTGTCCCTGCCCGTGGCAGGGGTTGGGACTGGATGAGCTTTAAGGTCCCTTCAACCCAAACCAGGCTGGGATTCTGTCCCCCTCACGGCACTCTTGGTGTTGGACACCTTTTACACCTCATAATGCCTGAGGCAGCCACAGAACATGGCACCACATCTTTTCGTTTTGGGACTTACTGAAAACTAGCACATGGGGGTTTTGCTCACTCTCTGTTGCGGTGTTTCTTCTTTGTTTGCTTTCGCCATAGGGGCCTGTCCACTATTTTTGGTGGCTGTGTGTGTGTAACCAGACCTACCCAAGTGTGTTCCTCTCATAAGGCTCTGCACAAGGAGTACCTGCAGCTTTTAGTGAAAAGCAGTAGGCCAGGAGTGGTTTTGGTGGAGATTGCAGGTAGTACAACAGCCAACAGCCCTGAGGAGCTCACTGACTCCTCACACACACTCATTTTGGGATGATGGAAAGCCCTGTCACATGAGCATCGCAGACATGTATCTATTAGTAACACTCAGTTATTCTCCACAGTCTTTAGGAGTTCCATGGAAAAAGTGACACTGGATGAGTATGCTGCTCTCTCCCAGCTTGTACTTCCTGCTGCTTCTATTTAGCTGCACAGCAAAAGCTGGAGCTCTGAGGAATGGGGCCAGTGAATTCTTTATTACAAATAGCAGAGGACTGAAAAGTAGAAGGAGCAGGGCTCAAAACAAGATTCTAATTGTAGGTACTCACAGCATTAGCCTTCCACAACAGGCAACAGTGAAGGGCAACAGGAAGATGGGGCAGGGAAAATGGGAACCTCATTCCCAGCAGCAGCTTGTGGGGCCCCCCGACCCCTGCTGTCTCATGAGGCTTTTCCCCTTCCTGCTGCTAAGTTTGCAGGGCAATTTCCTTATTTCAGTAGCCTGAAGAGAATAAAGTAACACAAAGAGGAAGATGACAGACTAAAGCAAAACCACAACAGCAACACCAGGCATCAGGGAATGGGACCCTTGTCCCTTGTCACCACTTGACAGCACCAGTGGGAGCAAAGACACCATCAGATCAAGTTTACAACCTTGAGCAAACCTGTGCTGGTTGGTGTGGTGGCTTTATGTCCTTTGAACGAGGTGATGGACAGGATGGATTAGCAACAGGAGAAACAAGGTCACCCACAATATAAATCTGTATATACATAAAATATACAATTATATATACAAAATAAACAATGTAAGTGTATATAAAATATATGAGAAACCTGGAGAGGGGCTTTGGACAAGGGATGGAGGGACAGGCCAAGGGGAATGGCTTGAACCTGCCAGAGGGGAGATTGAGATGAGCTCTGAGGCAGAAGGTCTTCCCTGGGAGAGTGCTGAGGCGGTGGCACAGGGTGCCCCAACAAGCT